CATATCAAAGTTATTTTTCTTCATGACAATGCTAGATCATATGTTGTAGAATCAGTAAAGGAAATCTTGGAGGCACTTGGGTGGGATGTCTTATTCTCGCTCTATTCACCAGACGTTGCTCCTTCAGATTACCATTTGTTTCAGTCGATGCAGCATGGTCTTTCTGAGCAGCACTTCAGTTATTTCAGTTACAAAACATAAAAAAATCGCTCGATGACTGGATCGTCTTTGTTCCGGAATCATCGTTATTTCAAATGTATTCTCGGGGATGGTAAATAAACAGCTCATAGACACCGAGCCGTCCTCGTTCAATCACGCTTGCGGTCGACATTTCGTTCAAAACATGAGTAATATTTCGTTTCTGTTCTAATCACGCTATCTATCTCAGATGGCACGCGACTCCCCTTGCGCGACACTCGAAAAGTTGACTATCGCGCACATGTTTCGCGTGCGAAAGTTCAGTTCGCTTCTCAATCTCGATTAATACGGATCAAGATTCGTGCTTAACGAATCTTATCCCGAGTATTAAGTACGAACCAAACCGAAGTGTCGTCACGTATCAATGCTGTATTGCGTCCCGTAACGTTACCGATATATGCATACCGCGAGAGCATTCAGTGCGCGAGAATTATTTGAGTTTCTGATGAAATTTGCCGGTCTCATTGCTACTCGCAATACGAATTCTTTCTAACAGCTGCTAGAAATTATTCAACGTCGTATCAAGTACGAATTACATATGCACACATCTAACAGAACGTATCAATTCTCGGATTACGAGCATCATCTACCGCCCGCTTCGAACAGATCTTAATTCCGACTCAAGAATAAAATTTAAATTATTAACAAAGAGAGTCGTCGTTATTTCACGCTGTCTTGGCGAGCGAGCCTTCCATAGGTGACACCGGCGTCATACCACAACACATTTGGTCCTTCGAGTTGAATCGTCGCCAAGGAAAGTTATTGTTTTTGCTTGACTCTCGAACGTTTCGAATCATGCCTTTTCCGTTGGAAATCATGTCGTCTCTCGATGAACTGATGAGTATACAAAATCAGCAGATGGGCGCCATATCTCGCATACTCACTAATTTTAAGAAGCTAGGACAGGTCAAGATGACACGTGTCAACGCCTCGCAACCTTCAAGAAGACCTTTGACAGATACCAAGAGCTGGATTGTAAAATTGCATTAGCTGCGGACGAGAAATGAGTTGCCTTCAATGTGTATTTCATTCAGAACTACTTCCTGACGTGTGAGGACTATTACCACGAAGTTGCCGACTACATGGCTGAGGTACTGGACGGTCACAAAATCCGCGAACCCCGTCCCGCTGCACATGACGTAAGTGGTCTCAATAACTCGTTCTGGTTATCGTCGCATCTTCCGAGGATCAACTTGCCGACCTTTGACGGGAATTTTAACAAATGAGAAAACTTTCGCGATAAATTTAAATCGATGATCAGAGTTTAACGAATATCGAGCACATGCATTATTTGTGTTTGTGTGTAAAGGGGGATGCAAGTAACGCTCTTGACCACCTCACGGTAACCAATGATAATTTCACTATCGCGTGGAATATTTTCATTTCCCGGTAACGACAATAAACATTGCCTTATAACGATTTACAATCGCATCACTTTTCAATTTACCGTCGCTCACAATAGAAATCTCGGCGCGCTTTGTGATCAAACCAATAAAGCGATACAAGCTCTGAGCAATCTCAATTGCGCTACTGAACATTGGGATGATTAGCTTGTTTCTCTAGTTGTACAAAAATTCGATAAGTCGTCGCGAGAAGCTTGGAATTTAAACTCGGCGTTATCGTAAATTACCCGCGTTATCGCAAACTTGATCAATTTCTCGCATTTTGCATTCGCGCGTTCGACGCAATTGCACCCTTGAATGCAACGGAGAAGTCACAGACAACCTCTAAAAGGAAAACTTTCGCCTCACATATCGCGTCTGTCGTTCTGTTCTTGTGCCCACTGTGCAAAGCGAATCATCTATCTTGTATCTATTTTGTATCAATGTTTTATGTTCCTAAATCAAACTCCATCCCAATGTTTTGAATTCATTAAAAACCAAAAACGTCGTGTATAAATTATTTCAGTACGAAGCATTTCGTGAAAAATTATACAAATCCTCACGCGTGTCGACAGTGTAATAAACAGCATCACACGTGATAATACATTTACACGTTGATTTACATTTTGATAATTCCGTTCAGCCTGTACTGTAAGACTAAGCAATCATCGACGTCCGCGTCTACGAGTAGCGAAAGTGTAACCGCCGTCGCTACGCACTTATCGAAAACCGTAGCGCCGAGCTCTAAAATCTTGTTCGCGACCGCGCGCGTGCGAGTTTATTCGCCTCATAAATTTTGTCATCGCTCGTGCGCTCCTTGATCAGAGATCTGTATCTACGTTTATCTCCGAATCGCTGGTTCAACGCCTACGCCTTTCGAGAATTAATCGCTCCATCTCCATTAGCGGCATTAGCGAAATGTAGTCCGTCGTGCGTCACGCTGCCCAAATTACGATTACTCCGGCGTATTGCGACGGACCTGCCTATACTACGACTGTTTACTTAACTATGTTATACTTCGATCATTAACGAAATATTTACCGAATCGAGTCAATATCGTGTATAATTGGAACACGTCGCAGGACTTGAACTTATCAATCGTGACTCCATGAGTTCGGATCCGATCATAATCGGTGCTGATCTATTCGGCATGCTTTTCAACGAAAAGATTCTGAACATGAACCTACCGCGCAAAATACTACTTTCGACTGGATTCTTTCTGGATCAATAGCTTCGTTTTCGATTACTGAGTCAATTTCCGAACCAATTTTTGAATCAATTTGCTTGCGCATCACGGAGTTGTACTTAAAACTCTCAATCGAGATTTTTGTCGCTTTTGGAAAATTGAAGAAGTGCTTCAGAAAGCTCCTCGGAGCCCTGAGGAGAGTACCAGTGCGAAGCACACTTCAGATTCCCGTATGCCGGAAGGTACGCACGGGATGTGTGGCTAAATCGTTCAATCACCGTTTAAAAACGGATCACCTATCTCGATAGATGAATTACGCTCTATTGCTGTTTCAAGCTTTCATCGCTTGATACAACACTTAATTCGAGACTCAATTAACGCTTCCGAATACCGCGAATTTCTCGCAGAGTATGAAGTCATATGACTAAAAGTCCACTGACAGAAATTGTCAAACCAGAGCAAACTTATTATATTCCGCATCACGCTGTCTTACGTGGCAGCAGTACAACCACCCGCTTATGAGTGGTCTTCAACACTTCATGCCGCACCTCAAACGGGATATTATTGAATGATCATATGCTCATTAACCTACCCCTGGTGAATCAATTACGGATTACCATCTTACCTACAGCAGTCGATTGCCGATCCCTACTTAGCTCTTAGATTAACTCGTCGACGATGAAGACACCGAATTTCCGCTTGCGATTCCCGTTTTACGTCATCAGACATATGTAAACGATTGCGCAGACGACCAATTTCTTGCTCGTCAAACATGCGATCAATTGGTAGAGTTACTAAAGAAAGAAGGCTTTTTTCTTCGAAAATAGGCGAGCAACTCCATCGCTCTGTTGTCCGATCTCGATCCTGCTGATCATGGTTTAGCTACTCAAGGTTCTTCAAGACGATGAGCATCTTAAGGTCTTAGGAATACTTTGGAATTCTAAGCTAGATATCTTTCAATTCCGTGTGACCGTATCGTCATCACTCGAACGAACTAAACGAGCCGTTCTGTCGATCATCGCCAAGTTTTTTTGATCCTTTAGGATGGATTACTCCCGTCAGTATTACCGCCAAAATTTTTATGCAGCGATTGTAGTCATTCCAACGCCGATGGGATGACGAAATCCCTAGCCGACTTCTTGATTGCTGGTCTAAATATCATCAACAACTTTCATGTCTTAATGCAATTAGCATTCTGCGTTGGTTTACTTATGGCCCTCATACTCTACACTGCGCCCTTCATGGGTTTTCCGATGCATCGACTGCGGCTTTTGCAGCATCAATGTATCTTCGTACCATTAATATAGACGGTTCAATCATCGTCTCTCTTCTCGCTGCCAAATCAAAAGTGGCTTCTCTTAAAACGATCAGCGTCCCGCGATTGGAGTTATCCGCTGTGTTGTTTCTCGCGTTTAATGCATTTCGCGCACTCAGCGCTTCAACTTGCGAATCTCGAGTGTCAGAACAGACTCCACCATTACTCGCCTGACTGAGTCAGTCATCTTCCCTGGAAATCCTTTAATTTTCCATGGAAAACCTTTGTCGCCAATCATGTTTGCACTGTTGTGCAATCACTTCTTTCTGGAGTTTCTTGGCGTCATGTTCCGACACACCAATCCCGCGGATTGCGCATCACGCGATCTCGCTCCCGATCTTTTTGAGACACATGCTAGACATTTTTGGTGGTCAGACTCTCTATAGTTACATCATTCTCCCGAGTCTTGGCTGATCTCGTGCTCTTCGGTACTCTCCGATGTTCCTCTCGAATAACGCCCAGAGCCTCCAATTTGTACATTGCACGCTATACCAAATTGGGATCTCGCGTCGCGTTATTCTTCGTGGTCAAAATTACTATGAAATACCACTTATCGTTTTTTCAATCGACTCCGAAAACTCTAAAACACTCTAAAAACTAATACAGCGATTTTGCTATCCGAAGAAATTAAGAACGTCAAACGCTACTGGCTCAAAATAATGCAGTCAGACATGTTTCTTAATGAAATCGGCTCTAAAACATCAGCACCTGGTATCGAAGAACAGCCCGCTCTCTGTTTTCAATCTTCATATGGACTTATTCGTATTCGAGGAAGATTCCGTCGATTTCCTTGCCTTCCAGGAGCAACGAGGAATCCCATCGTCTTACGCGTACACCTGCTGTTAGTACTCATTATCCAGCACCATCATCTTAGAACGTTGTATTGCCGGTTCTCAATTGATGCTCGCGTCATTGCGACATGAATTTTGAATTCATAAGCGACCTCCTGGCTGCGAAAATTAACCGTACCGCTCGCACATTTGTCCATACCGGCGTTGATTATGCAGATTCGATCGCTGTCGGAACGACTCCCAGTCGAGAGCATAAATCGCAAAAGGCCTATATCGCTTTATTCGTATGCCTCACGACCAAAGCTACATTTAGTGTTCGTCAGCGATTATACCTCTTCTACCTTTATCGCAGCGTATCAATAATTTGTTTCTTGCCGAGAACTACTGAGGTCCATGTATTCCAACAGCAGCGACAACCACGTTTCACGGCGCCGATCGCGAGTTGTCCAATGCACATGCGAAAGCAATTCACGATCCTAACTTCCGCAATCGACTCGCTACCGACGGAACTGCGTGGTACTTCCTACTCCCCTGCATCACCGCACTTCGGCGGCCTGTGGAAAGCCACCGTTAAAAGTATTAAGCATCATTTAAAACGATGCATCGGCCTCCACACGCTAATTGTTGAAGAGATGTCTACGCTTCTCTGTCGGATTGAAGCATGCCTTAATTCGCGCCGGATCGCTCCCGTTTCCGATAATTTCGAAATTTTGATTATCACGCTCTGACCTCTGGTCATTTTTTGGTCGGAACCTCTCTTATCGCTCCCGCCGAACCAAATGTGTTTGACTTAAATGAAAATAGAAGCGCTTTTGCGCTGACAAATGGTTTTATACATAACCGAAAATTTTTGGAGATCTTGTGATCTCCGGTGATTACTTGTATATCCTTAAACAACGCCCAAAATGGCGCGTTATCCAGCGACTGGCCAAAGTCGGCTAAATCCTCGTGCGTAACCCTCTACCTCCACCGAGCCAATGGGAACTTGGTCGGATTACGACGTGTCATACCGGTAATGACAATTTAACTCGCGTCGTAACTGTAAAAACAGGTCGTTCCGAGTACAGGCGACTAATTGTGAAACTTTGTTTCTTACTCGTCACGATCAATATCGAAGAGTCTAAAGATTTCGTTACGGCGGGCGGAGTTTCCGTTGAACGTACCTGATGTTACCAGTATCGCTTATATACGAACCTGGAGGATCGAACCCGTCGAGACCGTCGGCCGCGTTTTTCGTTTTAAGTGAAAATGCGTCGAATGAGTATATTTTTAATATAGTTTGTAACAATAATAATATGTATTTATGTTTGTACAATAATAATTGTATTATTTTATACAAATTTGGCTATGTAAGATAATATAAAATGTACATAAAAGTATCTATATAATACATTCAAATGATTAATTAATAATAATAATTAATAAATAATAACATGCTTAAAAGTCTGTTTTAAAGAAATATACAAGGGCAAATCAATAAGTACCCGTTTCAAGACAGGCGACATTGCTGATGCAAGTTGGCCTTACCATCGTGTACTACCATCTTTCAAACGACACCATACAAAATTTCGGAATGATTCATGCAATAGTCTTGATTTGAGTTTGCAATTCGTAGTAAGCTTTTTTGATGTTTTCCGACAATACAATGGAAAAAGAGCAATATCGATCCGTGATTTTCTTATTTTTGCATGGAAAAACGTGCGAAGAAATAAAAACGAAGTTGGATGCCTATGGGAACTCTTCACCATCTATGACAACCGTCAGATATTGGTTCAACGAATTCAAACGTGGTCGTTCGTCTGTTTTTGATGAGAAGCGCCCAGGCCGTCCGGCAGACGTGGTTACTGAGGAAATCATTGAAAAAGTCCACGACATGATTTTCGCTGATCGTCGAACGAAAGTGCATGAAGTAGCAGAGGCCGTAGGCTTGTCGTACGGAATGGCATTCAATATTTTGCATGATAACTTGGGAATGAAAAAACTGTCTGCCCAATGGATGCCGCGATTGCTCACGGTGGACAACAAGCGGATGCGATTATCAATTTCAAATTTCAGCCAAATTGATCGAATTGCGCTACGAATTGCTGCCGCATCCACCGTACTCTCCGGATTTAGCCCCCTGTGACTTCTTCTTTCCAAACTTGAAAAAATGGCTCGGTGGAAAGAAATTCACGTCGAATGAGGAGGTCATCGCCGAAACAGAGGCCTATTTTGCAGAATTTGACAAATCGTATTTTTCTGAGGAGTTAAAAAAATGGCAGAAGCGTTGGGAAAAGTGTATCCTCCTAAAAGGGGATTACGTTGAAAAATGAAAAAAATTTTTGAAAAGCTTGCGTCTTTATTATTAACACGGGTACTTATTGATTTGCCCTCGTATATATATATATATAATATATATATATATATGTGTGTGTGTGTGTGTGTGTGTGTATTATATATATATATATATATATATCTTTAAAACAGACTTTTAAGCATGTTGCTTCAATCTTGATTTTGTTGCTCTAGCCGTTTAGCAAGAAATCATCTTTCTACTGACTTTTAATGAAGTTAGTTGCACATTAAAAAAATTAATAATAAGAATAACAAATAAAAACGAAGTTGGATGCCGTCTAGGGGAACTCTGTATCATCTATAACAACCATCAGATATTTCAAAGAAATTCAAATGTCGTTTGTCTGTTTTTGATGAGAAGCGCCCAGGCCGTCCGGCAGACGTGGTTACTGAGGAAATCATTGAAAAAGTCCACGACATGATTTTCGCTGATCGTCGAACGAAAGTGCATGAAGTAGCAGAGGCCGTAGGCTTGTCGTACGGAATGGCATTCAATATTTTGCATGATAACTTGGGAATGAAAAAACTGTCTGCCCAATGGATGCCGCGATTGCTCACGGTGGACAACAAGCGGATGCGATTATCAATTTCAAATTTCAGCCAAATTGATCGAATTGCGCTACGAATTGCTGCCGCAT